GCAGAACAGCAGAGACAGCACCATCCTCGGGGCAGCCGTGGGTCCCAGGGGCGCCAGCCAGAGCTGGGAACCACGATTTCGGGCTTTTCCGGCCTGGATCTCTCCAAAATCGTGGTTCCCGCCATCCTCGGGGCCGCCATGGGTCCCAGGGGCGGTTTCCGCCATCCTTTTGGCCGCCGTGGGTCCCTGGGGCGCCAAACAGAGCCGGGAACCGGGATTTCGGGCTTTTCGAGCCTCGATCTTTCCAAAATCTTGGCTACCGCTATTTTCTGGGCTGCCCTGGGTCCTTAGGGCGCCAGACAGAGCCTGGGGGCGGGGGGTGCTCTCTGCACGCTCTCGGGGACTAGACCGCTACGACGCGGAGTGGCGGCGATGTGCCAGCCTGCACCGCTCCGCCACCCAGCGGTCTCGTCCTCCCAGCGCGATCTGCAGCATCGACCGACTGCGATTTTCTTGGCCACCAGCGTGTCGTTTTGCATTGTTCTAGCTCTCGTGCTGTTTCACCATCGCTCGGCATCTTTCATGCTAAGGTTGTTTAAGCGCATGGGTCATCCTGCTTTTGTGGGCAGTCGGTTCGCGCTGGGGCTGCTGCTGACTGCTCGGATCGCACATGTGCTAGAAAGTCCATGAGGACTTGAGCTTTTCCGGCCTCGATCTCTCCAAAATCATGGTTCCCGCCATCCTGTGGGCCGCGGGGCCCTGGGAGCGCATAGCAGCAGAGACCACAGAGCAGCAGAGAGCACAGAGCAGCAAAGAGCAAAGAGCAGCAAAAAGAGCACAGAGCAGCAGAGAGCACAGAGCAGCAGAGAGCACAGAGCAGCAGAGAGCACATAACAGCAGAGAGCACAGAGCAGCAGAGAGTACAGAGCAGCAGAGAGAGCACAGGGCAGCAGAGAGCACAGAGCACAGAGCCGGGAACCACGATTTCGGGCTTTTCCGGCCTGGATCTCTCCAAAATCATGGTTCCCGCCATCCTCGGGGCCGCCGTGGGTCCCTGGGGCGCCAGACAGAGCAGGGAACCGGAATTTCGGGGGTTTTCCAGCCTCGACTTCTCCAAAATCATGGTTCCCGCCATCTTCTGGGATGCCCTGGGTTCTTTTCGCGCGCGCGCGCGCTCAGCGGATTTCTTTCGAACGGCCCGCAGTTTTCGCGCGAATCGATTTCGCGCGGACGGCGGACCCTCAGGAGGAGGAGGAGGAGGAGGAGGAGGGAGGAGGAGGAGGAGGATTCTTTTACCATCGACATCATGGGAGCTGCTCCTTCTGTGGCGGCTAAGGGCCTCCCTTGGGGAGGCAAGCTGCGAAAAGCCCTCAAAACGGGGCCTGAGGCTGATACGGCGAGTCCCGAGGCGGACCGCTCGCCGCTGCCAGGAGACGCCGTGCGATCGCGGCACGGCGTCTCTCTCGTGCTCCCTCCTCCTCCGAGGCCGAGGTGGGGGGAGGCTCAGACGAAGGGGCGGGGACCTCCTCCTCCTCCTCGTCTGGGACAAAACCAAAAGAATGGCTGCCCCAGGGGCCGCGTTCTACCGTGACCTCTGGGCGCTTTGGGTGCCGCCCTCTGCGGATCAGCCCCCAGTTGTTGTAAAAAGTTGACCTAGTCGGTCCAAGGTCCAAGGCACCTGCCTCCCAGTCCTGCGACTCTGCCGTGCGACGAGTAGCAGAAACACTTCGTGCAGACTACCAGCGACGCCTGGTCAGAGCAAGACAACGTGATACAAGAGTGGCCCCTCTTTTCCAGCGCACCCGACTCGAGACCCGCGATCGGCTTACAACGGGGAGCGCTCGGGGGAGGGCCGTGGGTTGACGCACGACTAACTCTGCCACAAGTCGTGCATTTCCAGAAGCCTGGGGAGGACGCCAACTGCGCAACCTGAATTATCGTCCACTGGCATCTAGCAGACGTCGAATTCATAGAAACTGAGGCTGACGGCTTAGTCCAGGAGACTTCGCTGAGGTCAAGGCGTGGCCAACTAGGGAGCACTTTCGCGGCTAGCTGACACACTGCACGGGACATTTTGAGGTCAGGATCCAGTCTAGCAGTGTCATCCGCAGACGGCTGCGGATGACCCAGGTCGCCTGAGGAAGAGGAGGAGGAGGAGGAGGAGGAGGAGGAGGAGAAGGAGGAGGAGGAGAAGGAGCAGGAGGAGGAGGAGGAGGAGGAGGAGGAGGAGGAGCAGGAGGAGAGAGGAACAGGAGGAGGAACAGGAGGAGGAGGAGGAGGAGGAGGAGGAGGAGGAGGAGGAGGAGGGAGGAGGAGGAGGAGGAGGAGGAGGAGGAGGAGGAGAAGGGGCAGGAGGAGGAGGAAGAGGAGGAGGGGGGAGGAAGAGGAGGAGGAGGGAGTTGTTCGTCTGACCGTGAGGGAAGAACGTTAATCATGCCCACACGGGTAAACGTGGCGCCGATCATGGCGCGGGCGAGCATGCCCTTGCAAACCTGCCACACATCATAGCTTCCCTTAGCAGGGCGCACACGTGTACAAAGAGGAAGCAGGCACAAGCTGAATCCGTCCTCTGGCCTCCTATTATTGGCTAACCCCCAATAGCGCCTGAAACGCCGTGCCTTAGGGGGGAAACCAACAAATAGGAAAGCAACGGGCAGGACCCGAGCATTGGACCAGCGACCACAATCCCGCAGGGTGAGGTCGCCCCCTGGCCCTTTCCCCCCAGCCGACAGGCGGGGTGGGAGGAGGCCCCACCAGGGGCGGGATTGGTCAAGTGCTGGGCCTACCCAGCAAGACAACACGGAGTGGTACCCAGCGCCAGAACCTCATCATAGCACGGCACACGATATGCCCGCGGCTAGTGGCATTCCAACCAAGGTGGTTGGACGCTGTGAGCCGCGGGCACCCGCCTCCGCATCATCATCGGCGGTGCACCTCATACAGGAGGTGCGACACGGCGCCCAGGCTGCACCGCTTGGCCGCGGTGGCAGGGACTTTAAACATACCCAGGCCTGACGGCCGAGGAGGAGGGAGGAGGAGGAGGAGGAGGAGGAGGAGGAGGAGGAGGAGGAGGAGCAGGAGGAGGAGGAGGAGGAGGAGGAGGAGGAGGAGGAGGAGGGGGAGGGAGGGAGGAGGGAGGAGGAGGGAGGAGGAGGAGGAAGGAGGAGGAGGAGGTCCTGCCCCAGGGCCCCGGAGGAGCCCACCTGCCAGGACTGGTGCGCGTGCACAGCCGCCCCGTCGCAGGAGCTGGGCCGCCGAGCTCCGCGGGCCCCACGCCCCGGCACGCTGTCCCACCGAGAGAGCGCGGCCCGGGCAGCGCTCCGCGCCACGCCCGCTGCGGCGCAATCTGCTGGTGAGGGCTGCTGGTCCTCGTGTGAAGTCGGGCTCTGTCCCTCTACAGGGGCGATCTTCAAGGATAGTGAAAAGATATGGGGACGACGTTTGAGTATTTTTGGTCATTGCTTGAGCATGTCTTGGATGTTTTCACTTTTCCGTCCCAAAAACTGCCTGTGGGGGGACATGCCCGACCTAATGCTGGTCCTCATGTTTTGCACGTAGGAGAACAAGCAATGCATGAACCTAAAAATTCGGAGGTCCGCGCGGATTGCGCACATCGGCGCCGTGCCCCCCTGCTGGTGGCGCTTCCGGCGCAGCCCCCGGCGCGCTCCGCGCGCGCCCCGGGAGTGGGTTTCCAGCGCCGAAGCAGGAAGCCCACGCGGACCTCCGCAAGTGCATGCTTGGGCTAGCGCAAACAAACCAACAGAAGGGAAGGAAGGAGGCGATACTCGAAGAAGAAAAGACAAACACCAAAAACATAAACTCTCGACGCTCCGCGCGGATTTCTTGGATCCGCGCTGGCCCCTCCTGGCGGCGCCTCCAGCGCCGCCCCTGGCGCGCTCTGCGCGCCAGGGAGGAGGGTCCAGCGCGGATCCAGGAAATCTGCGCGAAGCGCCAAAAGTTTCTGTTCATGGCGCTTTTTCTGCTTCCAAACAAAACAGAAGGGGTGGAAGGAAGCGATGCCGCTGCTCTCCGGGCGTCACCCAGGGTGCGCTCTTGACCAGGGCCCCGAGGCAAAATCGGGCCGTGCCCCCCCCAAGAGGCTCCGAGGAGGCCCCCACACGAGGAGGCAAGAAGTCCGCGCGAAGCTCCGAAGTTTATGCTCATGTGGACGCCCGCTGTTCTATTGTTCGGATCCGTTGCTGGCTCGGCTCAGCCGCCATCGCTCGAGCGTTCTGCCGGTTCTCTGGGATGGCCTCCGCGGGGTACGGCCACACGGTTCTGCTCCGGAGCGACGGCACGGTCGTGGCCTGCGGGAACAACATCTTCGGAGAGTGCGACATTTTGGAGACGTCTGGGAGTCTGAGGTGGCCCAGCACAGGTTCTGGCCAACAGGAAGGGGCTGGCAGGTTCGAGGTTCTGGGCTCCGGACGGTGTTTTGCCCTAGGCCGTCTTCGGGGCCCGGGACCGTCAGAAACGGATCTGGACTGAACAACTGAACCAGATGGAACCCGGGAGGGGTCTCGGGACCGATTTTGAGCGAATTTGGCCCCATCCCCCCTCCTAACCGATTTTCTCGGGCCCCATCCAGTTCAGACCCCCCAGCGGCCTCCAAGACATTCCTGCGTTGCGAGCGCGCGCGACCTACCTGCAGGTTGCTGCGGGATTTCGCCACTCGGTTCTGGTCAGGAGTGACGGCACGGCAGCGGCGTGCGGCAGCAGTTTTTTTGGAGAGTGTGACATTTCTGCGTTGGATCGAGGCCTGATCTACAAGCAGGCTGCTGCAGGATTTCGGCATACAGTTCTGCTAAGGAGCGACGGCACGGCCGTTGCTTGTGGCCACAACGACTTCGGGCAGTGTGACCTTCCTCCTCTCGACCGACATGCTACCTATGCGCAAGTTTCCGCAAAAGGATGCTATACAGTTCTGCTCAGGAGCGACGGTGAGGCGCTGGCGTGCGGCAACAACACGTTTGGAGAGTGTGACCTCCCTGTGTTAGAAGAAGGTTTGATCTACATACAAGTTGCCGCAGGGTGGCGTCACACAGTTCTGCTCAAGAGCGATGGTGCGGCTGTTGCCTGCGGTAGCAATGAGTCTGGCGAGTGCGACGTTCCAGCAGTGGGCGAAGGCTTGGTTTACACACAGGTTGCTGCAGGAGCGAGGCATACAGTTCTGCTCAGGAGCGATGGCGCGGCCATGGCATGCGGCAACAACGGTTTTGGGCAGTGCGACCTTCCTGCGTTGGACGGAGGTTTGGTTTACGTGCAGATTGCCGCAGGATGGCGCCATAGCGTTCTGGTCAGAAGCGATGGCGTCGCCGTGGCTTGTGGTCACAATGAGTTCGGTGAGTGCGACATTCCTCCGAATCGATCGGATCTCCCCCGTCTCCGATTGACCCGGAAAGAGCTACCAGATGCATTGAAAGTGTACGCGCTTCATTCCAAGCAATTGCGTTATGTCACGAGTACGCTCAATTGATGCACTACCGCTTGGAATTAGAGCCTCGCGGCGTAGTTACACTCTTTTGCGGAAGCATGTCGTTCACGTGAAGATGCCCCACCACCGAAATGATTGTTTACTTGGTTTCAATTGGCTAGGTTGGACATGCCCTTGGCGTTCAGACACAGGTGGTAGAGCCATATTCGCGCAAAACGCAAAGCGAGTATTGGTGAGGCCTGGTGTAGGCGTTACTAGGTACTCGTGTGGTCAGCCCTCGTGTTCAAGATCTTCGAGCAACATGAACGTGTTGTCTATGATGTTGTCGGGTCATTGTCAGGCTATGTTGGTCATGTTGCTTTCTTTCCTTGAACAATTCTGCGCAGACCAGTGGGCCAGCGAGAGTGCTGCCTTTGCGAGTTCCACGGCAATTTCCATCACTGGCAACCCAAGTGGCGTATGCGTGGAGGCATTGTTGTCGCATGGTTATGCCAATAGAGTAGGAGGAGGAGGAAAAGAAGGAGGGGCGGGCGCTCTAGGGCTCTCCGCTCCCTGTGGTCCCGAGGGACTCCTCTGTGTGGTTATATTCCACAATCCGCACCCTCCTGCGAAACGCCGTGAGGAAAGAGTGCCCCGACAATCAGGCGTAAGATTACCAACTGGGCTCACGGTAGAAACTCGTCGAATGCGTTCAGGCAATGCCCTCTTCTTTGCATGTTTCTGTTACTTGTCAATGCATCCCTCCTTCTGCATCCTTCCTCCCACTCTTCCCCCGTCCCGTTCGCCATTCCTTGTCCCCGTCTCACAGAACGGGGACCCAGAAGAATTGTGATTGCCAGACAAGTGCGAGGGACATGTGAAGCGTGGGAGACGTCACGAAGCGAGACCGACATGCCTCGAGGGTCCCAGATTCGACACTCCGCGCTGCTGAAGCAACATGTTGTCGCAAATGATGCGGCAAGGTGCCGTGACATGATGGCATGATGGTCTATCCATTTGGCCAAGACGGATTGATATCAGTTGCGCCCGCCAGAATGGTCAGCATGGAAAGTTGATTGCCCTCCAGAGGGACGAGCCACGGAAGAGAATCACTGTTGGGAGGAGCCTCCAGTTTGAGGGTTGGGGGGGAGCTCTTGGGGCAGTGTCGGGGCGTTCCCAAGGCCTCTCCAAAGCCTGTGGAGTTCCTCCGAAGCCCTTTTGACTCCAGCCGCAGAGCCCCGTCGCGCGCCTCGCGCGTCCCCCCCCCCCGCGTGAGCGGGAGGGGCGGGCGCTGCGCAGGCCGCAGCCAGCACGGCGGGCATGCGCGGCGGCGGCCGAGAGGAGGCCGTCCGCATCCCGCTGCCCGGAGGCGGCGAGGTCTGCGCAAAGGTCGTGGTGCAGCGCAGCCCCGTGGTGGTCATCGCGACGCACCCGTGGGGGCCGCTCGGCGGGTGCATGGACGACCCGCACTGCAGGACGGTGTGCGGGGTGATGGGCGAGGCGGGCTGCTCCACGGCGCGGTTCAACTTCCGGGGCGGCCTCGGCACGGGCTCGTCCAGCATCGCGGACGTCCGGGCCGTGGCGGAGTGGTTCACGCGGCCCCGGCCTGGCGAGTCCGAGGCCCTCGCCGCGCAGGTCCTGCTGGTGGGCTACAGCTACGGGTCGCTCATCGCCGGAGCGGCGGCCGCCGAGATCCCGGAGTGCATCGGGTTCTGCCTGCTCGGCCCGCCCCTGGGCTACACGTGGGCCCTCTACTTGTTCAACAGCGCCAGCATACTGAGGAGAGTAAGGGAGTCGGCGGGGAAGCCCAAGCTGCTCGTGGTCGGCAGCAGCGACCAGTTCTGCAGCGCTCCGCAGTTCCGGTCGTTCGTGGAGACGCTGCCGGACCCGAAGGAGTCCCACGTCCTCGAGGGCGTCGACCATTTCGGCTACTTCCGGCTGGCGCAGCAGATGCTGACGAGGTTCGGGGGTTGCTAGAGGTGCCCCTAGCCCGAGGTGCCCGCAGCCTGCCGCTCCACTCTGGAGCCCCTGGGGCCCCCTGGGCCTCGTGAGGGGTGCCCTGGAGGCCGAGGTGGGCCTCCTTGGAAATCCTGGGGGCACCTTGGGCCAGGGGCACTTCCAGCAGCACCCGAGAGGTGGATCACAGACGCCTTCGGGGCCCCAGACCTGCCCACCTTCGCGCGCGTGGGGCCGACGACGAGCTGAGCCACCCGCGGTGCGCGCCGCCGACGCCTGCCGCGCTCCTCCCCCACGGCGGCGCGGGGACACGCGCCGCCGCGCGAGCAGTCGCCCACGGCTGTGCGTTCGCGGCCTTGGATTGCAGTCAACCCGCATAGTCAGGATGGGCATCCTTCCCAAGGGTACCCCTGCAGCCTTGCCTCCTCGACACATCGTTGGCGCTTTCGTTGGCCGCGCCCCGCTCGGAAAGATCCGAAGTGGGCGTCCAAGGCCCTTGCATCCTTACCGCGCGTCCTTATGATACGGGCTGACTGCACCAGCCTGGAAAAAATCAGCAAAACATTGAGCACTACCAGGATCCCGCAAAGGGGGGGGTGTGCCATGGTGTGTGTGTGTGTGACTTCGATCGGTTGTTGCACCGAGCCGCCCAAAACAGATACCCCCAGCCGCCGGCAGCTCCCGATAGTTGCCGATAGGGGGGGGGCATGCGGGGGGCATCTGTTTGCGGCAGTTCGGTGCACCAATGGATCGAACTCATGCCCCCCCTCAGGGTCACCCCCCCTGACACTAATGTGGTTCGTTGATGTTGACCTCTCTGGGATATCCCAAGGAGGTTCCAGAGCAACCCCAGAGTCATCTTGGGGTATTATTTGAGCCTCGTGGGCCCATACTGGAGGCAATATTTGTGCATCCGTGGGGCATCTGGGAACATGGGGCTTTGCTGTGTTCCTGCTCGCTAACATGTGTCACGTGTGCGGAGCTACACTGTCAATGCCGCTCGTTTGGCTTTGCTGCGTTCCTGCCCGCAACGCACACCGCCAGAAGTGGCGGAGAGCTTGAGATATCCACCGACAAAAACTACCGAATGGGTGCAGCCCACCATCGTATTGCCCTGCCTCGTCTACCCTTGCCCAGGACAGGACATGATCGCTGGCCCCTCCCCGTACTCTCTGCTGCCTCCTCCCTTCTCCTCCCTCCTCCTCCTCCTCCCCATTCGCCTCCTCATCTTCTTCCCATCTCTTCTTCAAGCAGCGCTCAGGGCGGCGCACGCGCGGGCTATGGCGCGCTCACGGTCGCGCTCGCGCTCGCGGTCGCTGCGGCGGCAGTCAGAAGGCCGCTGCTGTAGTCGTGTAGGCCTTGTCTCGGGGGAGGGTGGTCGCGCCCCTGACTCGGGAGACGCCGATTGTGGCCAGGCTCGTCTTGGGCCGACGGCCAGTGTATCTGCCTCCCTGGCCAAGTCAGGCGGGCGTATACTCGGGAGGGGGAACAAAAAAACACAGACATCAAAGACCGTCGACTCCCAGGGAAATAAGGAACAAGATGGTAAGTGGGGGGAAGACGAAAGCCCAAAGATACGGGAACAGATGAGAACTCCTAAGGTTTGTGCCTATGTATTTGTGTGTGTGTCCCAGGGCCCCCCGTCGTATCTGCCTCCCTGGCCAAGTGAGGCGGGCGTGCCCACGCTGGTCCTGTGCCCAGGATGCACCGGTGCTGTGCCCACGGGGGGCCTGGTCAGGATCGGTGAGGCGTGCGGGTCGACGTCCCACAGAGGACGCACGCGGGAGGCTGGTCGTGGCACTCCTCTCGGGCCGGACGAAAGGGGGGGATAGGGAAAGGGGGGGTTACGAAATCTGCTGCATGCAGCTGGTTCCGGCCCCACCGAGGGGCCCATTCCTCGATGCATGGGCGCCTCCCGGCTCCGGGAGGCGCCGGGAGCATCAGCTACGTGGGCTGATTCTCAAACCCCCCCTTTGCTATCCCCCCCTTTCGCCCGACCCGATCATCGTGCCACGCGTGGCGGACAGCCGAGCAGGGATACGTTGCACACGGGCGGGTCCCTCTGCAGGAGGAGCATGGGCGGATAGGAAAGACAGAGGCTGGGGACGAGGTATCGTCCTTCTTCTGTCGCGCGACGCACGTCGCGCAGCCGAGCGGGGATTTTTGTTCGAAGAGCGAATCACGCCATAGGCACAAACCTTGTGGCGCTCCACGCGGGTTTCTTGGGTCCGGTGGCTGGAGGCTCGGGGCGCCAAACGTTTCATATGTATGCAGTTTGTTGGTTGTCCCCATGGCAACATCATTTCCTTCGCCTTCCGGGTCTTCGCCCCCGGTCCCTGTCCAAGGCGTACCTTTTCCTGCACTTCCACTTCGGCACCGCCTGTTCCCCGGGCCCCGCCCGCTCCGGCCGCCTGAGGCCCCGCCTTCCTGTGCCCTGTCTCCCTAATGAAAGCTGTGCGTCGTCCGCCTAGCTTTTAGCGGAAGAGGTTCGCTCTCGCCCCGCAGATCAAAAAAAATGTTGACCCCATGTTGTAGTACACTGCGAGCGCACGTGACACCGATGTTGCACATGGCGGGTCCTCTGGAGAATGGCTTCTCGGAGAGGGGCGGAGTGTCATGTCTGTGCTCCTGGCACGCGGGCGATGCCTGCCCGATGGCCAGGCGATCTGCGCAGAGCGAGTTCCAATCTCACGGCAGGTGTTCAGTCAATGATATGTTCGTATGCCCCAAGAGCTTGTTTTTTTTAGTCTGGGCGATAACGCTCGTGATCGACCCCGCCCCTCCCCCCCCCGATCACGTCACGCTATTTCCCCACATGTCTCAAGGAATCTTCCAGAATTTCCAGAGAATCTCAAGATTTCCCAGAAATTCGTCGTCGTCGCTGTTGTCCGCGACCGGGAGACCGAAAAAGCAAAAACAAAGTCACCAAAACCTCGTTCCTCGAGCCTCGGACCTCGCTCTTCGGAGGGGCATCCAGTTCTCCAGGGCATCGGCATATCCAGCTGCCTGCAGCAAGTCCCGCCACTGCCAGCTCAGCGTTGAATTGCATGCAGGGTGGTTCGTGATTCTACCGAGTTATCTGGGCAGGCTTGGTGGAGCCATCCTGGGCCCGTTTGGGAAGAGCCGCATTGGCTTGAGTCAAATTGGCTTCAGATCATTTCTCCTCTTCCTCGCTCGCCCTCCCTGTTTTTCCTGCTCGTGCTTTTTTGCTCCTCATGTTCCTCCTCAATCCCCACGGGAACCTGGACCTCGGGACCAGACACGTGCACAACGACGGAGCGAGCAGCAGCTTTAGATAGAGGAACTTGGGGGGGGAGGGGGTAGGGGGCGGGGGAGGCGGTGGCGGGAATACTGCTACACTGGGACACGTCCCGAGCCAGGGGCGATTGGCCAGACGGCCCTAAGTCCCTGCCGTTTCCATAACAATTTTGTTTTCGGGAAGGCCCCGCGCTGCAGCGGGCCGAGAGGCTAAAAAGCCAGGGTCCCGTAGGCGACCCGTCGATCCGCCGATCTAACGTGCCAGCAGCAATTAGGTTCGTATGCAGTCGAACCCCAGACAGCTGCCAAGGCTTCCGACTCCGACTCCGACTCCTCAATCCCCTCTTCCGTCTCTGCTCCCTCTCCCTTTTCCGTATCTTCCTCCTCCCGAGGGCCCGGGGGCTCGAAAAAAGCCCCGGGAGGCCGAAACCCGCTGTGATGTGATCGGGGGGCCATGCCCCTCCCCCCGAGCACGCCCGTGATCGCGGACAATACAAACACAGGCCCCAACACGCCAGATTGATGAGCGGATTTGTTAAGTTGTGATCCGCAATCGGATGCCAAGTGTGCGCAGGGTTCCGTCCAGCAAACTACCCGGTGGAATGATAGTGGCTTAATGTTGTTTGCGGTCAGAGTCCGAGGGGGTGACATTTTTAGTAAGTGTAGTCGGTACTCGTGACGCAACAGTGCATGCGATGATCCTGATACGTGCGAGTGCGGTCTGTTTCAGGTGTGGTCGGGGTCTCCTTGTGCGCCCCATCCCTCACAATGTCCATGCACGCTGACGGCGGTATCGTGGTACCTGTGTGTTTTTCTACGGTGGAGTGCGGTGTGGTGAGCGTGTTCACGCTCGTGGGCGTCTGATATCTGACACAACGGGTGTATATAGATATATATATATATATATATATAGATATACATAGATATATCTATACATATAGATATAGAAAGATTGCGTGCCACCCTCGAACACAGCGCGGTTGGCATGTGGCCTTCGTGTAGACTCATTGATGCCAACTTGCTCGGCCATTCTGTCAGTCTGAACGTGAGGTCGCACGATCAAGTAGAACCATTTTGGGGTACGGGAATATGGTATTGCCTTCCGTTTCGTTGCAATTTCGTAGTAAGTGACGATGTTGCGCGATTGTGCAGATGCGCGAGCTCACGACACATATGTGCATGACGTCACAGGGAGGAGGAGTAGCAGCAGCAGCATGAAGAGGACGGAGGAAGGGAGGGAGAGGGGGCAGCGGACGACGAGCAGGGTGCGAGGGGGGGAGGAGTGTGAGGAGAGGGTGATGATGGGTAGGGGTCGTCGAGGGAGAAGCAGGTGGAGGTCCTTCCGCTTTCGAGCAGGGGGTCGACTACAGAATCGAGTAACCCCCACATTGATCTTCCCCGATCGAGCCCACGGCGAATGCGCAAGGATGGTTTGCACATCTACAGGGAATTCTAAGTATGTGTCCGCAGATTCGACGAGATAATTAATTTTGGGGTAGATCAATTCTGTAGTCGATCCCCTACTCGAAGCTCCGTCATCTTCTCATCCTTCGCCTCTTCCGCTGGCAGAGGGCCCCTGGTGGCTTGGCGAGGCGGAGGCGACGGAGGCAAGGCCGCTTGACCGTGTGGCGGCCGGCCTGGCTCGGAAGACGAGCAGGCTCGGGTGGGGGGCGGGGGCCTGGGGTGAAGTCGGGCCTGTCCTTCTACAGGAGGAATATCCAAAAATAGTCAAAAAGTAGTATGTGGACGACGTTTTGAATCTTTGTTTGCTTTTTTGTGCATTTTTGGGGTATTGGGGATGTTGGTCCAAAAGCCCCCTGTAGGAGGACATGCCCGACCTCAGAGCAGGCTCGGGTGGGGGTCAGGGGCCCAGGGAACTCTGGCGAGGATCGGAGAACGGATCGATCGAAAGCTGGACGGAGCGGAATTCAGTATCGTTCAACCGACCCCCATCCTCATCCCCTTCGAGACCCCCACCAAGTCACCACCCC